ACTTTACTCGTTACTTGAAAAAAGTAATCGGATTACAGTAACGCGTTACTGCCCATCTCTGATCATGATGGCATGAAAATTCACCACTTTACCTTTATGAAGGACAGGATCCCCTTTCTCCAACTGCAAGCCAGTAAGTGCCAAAAACTGATCCGAATGACACGATCATAAGAATTTATTGTGATGTTTTACTTCACTTAAAAGGCATCCACAGTGTCAGCCAAAGCCACTTCAAACTCAGCAGTTAACCGCAATTTGAACTCTTGAAGACAACAAGTCAATAAATCTGCAAAGACATGTTCAGTGAAGGAAACTGGCAGCTGTACTTTTTGTCACCTTGACAGATGAATGACACGTCTCCTTGTTATCCCTCTGAACGTCTTTTACTTTTATCAGCTTCGTACCTCTATCTTATCCCCTGTACCTCTGTTGTCAATTGTCTTTATTTCCGTCTCTTGCACCGAGTCTCACTCGTATTCTACATCTAACCCTAATGAATTCTTCCTGGTACATTTCATTTTTTTTCTTCCCAGCTGCCCTCTTTTTGTTCCTCTTGATTTCTTCTTTGTGTTTTTGTCCTCACATCTGTTTGGTTAGTTGAGGATGTGGTACAGCGTCGTGTCTCAGGCCACTGGAGGACTTTTAGAAGTCAGCAAGAGAGAGTCTTCGGCGGTCCCCTGGGTTCCTGTGTGCGCACACACACAAGCAAATTCAATCACACACCAGTGTTAAGCTCTCAAATTCCCCTCAAAGAGTCTCACTCCCACAAGGCCACAGAGAGAAAAACAAAGAGATGGAATGTTTTCTCTCTATCCTCCCCTTTCCATCTCTTTCTCTCCTACTCTGGCTATAGTCTTCAGTCATTCTCTGCAGTGCAGTACAAACATGCAGCGTGATCAAAGAGTCTGGGGGTGTCAGAAGCGAGGGACAAAATGGACGTGTGTAGAAGACAAGATAAGAAAAGAAGTTGGGGGAACACAGCTGTCAATCAGACATTCAGTCAAACTCCGTGGAGTTTCTATCCCAGTGGCACACCTGCGGACTTCTGAGCTTACCTGCATGACCATCAGTGTATTAAAGTTGCTACAGTTGTTACCTTTGCTTTGTTTCAAGGTCCATGCTTTGTTCTTTGTTCCTTAAAAATAAAACAAAAATTGTAATTGAATTAAAAAAAAATCTTGTGATAATTAATTAATTAACCTCATTACCATGGTAAAAGGAATGAAGCCACTTTTCCCTGTGTCACTGAAGCACAGGTCTATTTGTGCAAAGATAATCTACTGTTAGTATGTGAATCTAGTTGCGTTTACCTTCAAGCCCAACCTTTCACGAAGTCAAATGAAAAGTATCCATTCATCCATTTTCTTATCTGCTTTTCTAACTTGGGGCCACAGGGAGGCTGAAGGTTATCTCAACTGTTTCAGTGTGAAGGATGGGGTACACCCTGGACAGGTTACCAGTAGCTCCCAGGGCTGACACAGAAGGGCAGATAACATCACATGCTCACACCCACAGCTACGGCCAATTTAGAATCACCATTTAATCTAACAAGCATGTCTTTAGGACGACTACAACTTTATACCCTCAGTAAAAAGTGTCTTTTTCCCCCTATTTTTAAATATAGCTTAAATGCTGCTACTGGAGATTAATAACCTCAAGAAAATGTGTACGTGTAGGTTTGCTTAGGGGAAAAAACAATAATAATATGGCAATAGTTTTAGTCCCGATCGTTGCTGTGTGAACCGTGGAGTCACAGCGCCCTCTTCTGGATCCAGCTGAAAATAGATGGATACGGTTGAGATGTTCACTGCATTTGTGTATACTCAAATACATGCAATGCAAAGATCTGGAAGAGCCATACTTATTTTTTACCAAAGGCAATTTTATTTTGATCAGATAATTGGAGATAATTACAATAAGTCTGATAAAAATGTGGGGTTTTTTGCAACATTTAAGACACAAAAATAATTCTAATAAAAATAAAATGTTTAATTAATACAAAAATGTATTTTTATCCCTATTGTTTTACACAACTAACTGTATTTCAATTAATAACCCTGGTCTTTTTTTCTCTGTCTCCCCCATCTTTTTAGGCTGCAGACAGGAAGGCTCTGTCAATTCAGTGGGAATAAGTAGACTGATAAAATCCCAGTGTCTCTGTAGTATGCACTGAGTTTATTAAAAATAGCATTTAAGGTAAAATAGCTTGGGTGTTTGGGGTTGGATTTTATCTGTTTATTATAGTTTTAAAGTGAATGGTTTAAAAGAGATTTACCAGTTATGTTCCAAAACATTGATTCTGTTCATCTGGACGTAGTGTTTTCAGTGGGAAAAATGTCTCGTCACTCTACAAATTTTCACCTTTGCAAATAAATGTGACACAAACTAAAACACATAGATTGTATCATGGTTTAATTTACATTGTATACTTACTGTGTCCTGGGGATCAGGTGTTGGGTTACCTGAAGAAAGGTCAGTCTTTTAGTGGAGATGAAACGCAGGCTGGGTTTGCTCATCCATCCAGAATTGTGTGGTTCAAAACTAATAATAAATGTACATGTAGGTGTCTTCTCTCTTTCTCTCTCTTTTTGAGCAGGTTGATACATTTCATTGCGTTATAGGGTAATTTGAAAACGTTAACACTAGATTAATCCCAGTTATCCATTAGTGAGCTACCCATGTGCAAAATCACTCGTAGGAGAATTAAAAATTGGAGTTTATGCCTCTGTAATGTTATTTACACATATCTAGGGAGGAATTTCACTGGAGCAGCTCAAGAAATACATTTATTATTGACAAATAAACACCCAAGGCTAAATATCTATGGGTTATGTTTTTCTTTTTCCAGATTCTGATTGTCAGTTTGCCTGCAAGGGTGAAAAGTTCCAGTGTGTTCTTTTGTCACAAGGGAAAGAAATAACTTTTGAACTTACAGCTACCTTACCTGTTTAGCAATTTTTAACTGGTTTCAAAGGTGAAAGTGAGAGTAAAGGTGTGTGTGTGTGTGTGTGTGTGTGTGTGTGTGTGTGTGTGTGTGTGTGTGTGTGTGTGTGTCGTATGGTAGTATGGTACTAATAAAACCTTGGAGAAAAAACTATGGTAGATGCAGTTTTGTTCTTGGGAAAGTGTGCACAGTGCAGCTGCAAGTATAGCTTTTGTCAAAAACAAATTCATTATAAGTGTACAATATACTTTACTTGCCTGCTTTTGTGCCAGAACATTAACATGCATCAATCATAGTGCTTGTTAACTTGTATTATGTATAGCAGTGCCGTATAAAAAAGTGGATGAATTTCATTTTTTAGACCTAAAAATATTTACTCTGCATACTTTAACAACATCTGAGACTGTTTAGTCTAGTACCTCCACAGATCCCTACCTTTGATGTACATAACACCAGCAACAGCCAGGACAGTGGGGATGCACTCTTGTACAGTATTGCTGCTGCCTAGCAACAAAAGGCCTCTCTTTATAGCAGCATCTCTTCTCACTGCAGACAGAAAGAGAGAGACACATAGAAAAAAAAAAAAACAATAATTTCTTTTACAATTCTGTTTGCTTGCTTTAATAGCTTTAGTTTCAAAGGCTCTTTATTTTGTGTAGCTCTGCAAACAAATGTTTGCTACCAATCAATATTGTATGCAACATTTTTCATTCTTCTCTCAAGTATATGTTCAGATACTCGTGTACGTGTATTCTCGTAAAACCTGAAGTACTGATTCAACTTCCTTACACAAGAAAAAGTGAAAAAATATATGTTCCAAATGTACTTTTTGTTTAAAAATAAAAATGGTTATTTGGGGGACATTCCTTCCAGCTATTTTGTGCAAAGCTAACTGAACCTTGTGCTATATTAATATAATAATAAAATATTAATACAAGGGAATACAAACTTTAATTCAACATAAATTCTAATGTATTTCTTCAGCTTCAATGCAAGCATGAAAAAGTAAATAAATAAGAAACAATAGCTTTATTTGATTTTTCCTGCATTGTAAATGTGACTGCACATCCAAACGGAACAATATACAGCAGTCAGGGCTTCAACCAGTAATGCTAACTTACACCATGAGGCCAACTTGTTGAATTTGAGACGTGGTGAAATCCTAAGACTGGCTGAGGTAGTGCATCATGGGGAAAACAATCACTCAGAATAAATCATAATCATTTCTGTTGTGAGGTCCAGTAGACTTGTTTGTTTATTTAGCCATAACAGCTCAGTAACATCTGCCTATCATGGCCGATTTCCCAAAACTAGACAGCATAAAGCTAGTGTTAATATAACTGTTTATGTTTATTAAGATCCCCAATAACTGCAGCAATGCAGCAGCTATTCTTCCTTCTTCCTGGCGTTGCAACTCTTTACATTTGTGCATAGAGGCACTTGACCTGTTTGAAAGACTGTCGTCTTATTATGAGCCATGGTTGAGATATAGAGCACACCTATGAAAACAACTAATATGCTGAACCCTGTATGAAACAGCTGAAAACTACATGATGGAGAAGCTGAATTGAATATGAAACCACTGTGAGGTTGCGTTGCGGTCTCTTCTGAGCTGATGAGCAAGCTACGCATTATCAGATCGAGATCTGGCTGAGAACTCATAAAAGAGAGGGAAACGAAACTATGATAACTATGATAACTGGAGTGTGCAGCATTTCCATGATCAGTTTTCCTGTATCTTGACTCATGTGTGTGGAGTGTTCATGGCATCAGCATTATGTTTCTGTTTATTTGTTTTGTTGGGTTGAAAAATAATTAAATAAACTTGTGATCATACTTATGGATCACCATGGCACATATCATCAGCCATGTGATTTATTTATGCAGATGAAAAAGTGAGTGTGAATGTGCCTGACATCGCAGTGTGTGTGTGCGCTGTGTAAACGTAACTTTTAAGCCTCCAATTGTGAGAGCGGTGATTCTGCAGGTCACCATGCAAAAAAAAAGTAAGAGTAAAAAAAAAGAGAAAAAAATCTACATTGTAGATGAAAAATAATCATAGGGAAAAGGTTTTGTGCCAAGAACAGCTACAATCTCATTTTCTGCCTTTAAGAAAGGACAGTTCACAAAAACAGAGAGAGAGAGAGTTGTGTGTGTTGGTTAAGCAGTGATAATAATAATGAACATGTCTTAGATTGTCACTTTCAGATGAAAAGCAGACCTGAATCAATTTTCCACATGCAGCGGTCGGAAGAAAGTTATAGTTTAACATCACTGGAAACATTCAGGCCAAGTTTCTGGCTAACGTATTTACAGCGCCATGTGTCCCTCAAACTCACAAGCGAGCTCTCACTCCTCCCTGAAGACAAGAAATGCAGCTCCAAAGAGCAATAACATGGCAGATAAAGAGACAGCAGCAAAGTCCTGAGCAAAGAGACCCAGCAAGCAGCAGCAGTGTGGACAAACAGCATGAGAGAAGAAGAGCAAACTCATCCTCTTGACTGATTGGATGAATGGCACTGTGTTTCCAACAAGCTGCAAATTCACTGTGCATGTGATAAGGAGAACTGAGGAGACTGTTGGAGTTTGACATTTGCCACCTTTGGAGAAAATGGCAAGAAGAGACAGTGAAACACAGGACAAAGCTGAAAGAGAACTGCTGGCTATTGGACTGTTGAGGTGGGAGAGGACAACAGAGTGAGAGTAAGTGAGAATGCTGTTGTTTAATGTGGGAAATCAAAATTTGGGTTAGCAAACCTGGGAAAAACAAAACTGACTGCTTAAGTGGGAAAATTGTGAAGGAGTCTGAAACACTGCAAAAAGAAACATACAAAATCACACACACAAGCAGAACATGCGTGTGCATGGCACACTGAAGACTGCTGGGATCATAACAGCAGTAAGATAACTGGATCCAGCACCCTTTCCACAGAGGGTTTTCCTGCAGAGGATGGACAATGGAGGAGTCAAATGTCCCCGACAGGACAGAGGCCATAAAACACGAGTGCTGACGAGGCCTGCAGCTTTCAAGATAACTGAGACCCATGTTGACAAACAACAAACTCAACTGGTATGTTTGAATTTCTATTCTACATATATTTGGACTCTGGTCCTGTGGACAGTGATGGAAACAACTGGAAGAGACATTTATGACGCCCTGCAGAACTTAAACCACTCTGCAGAGAGACATGCGATTTACATGTCTTGCGGAGGAGCACCACCAAGCTGGAGTGATCTTCAAAATGTTAATTTTTTACTTTGATCATTGACAATTCATTTGTTCACCTGTAGGATGCAGTTTACCATTGAATGTGATTAATGAGAAATTGGATAACCGCATAATATTTTCCACTGTTGCTGCATACATAGCCGTGACGAATGATGATAATGACTCTGACCTGTTGGAACATGAAGACTTTGTGTGATTAATGACGATGTGACAGAAAATGTACAACAAGATGTTACATACTGATATCTCACTAAAAGTTATACTGACAACAGGAGGGAATGTCAATAGAAAATTGTACTTAGTAGTCAGTATAATCTTTTAATGATATAAGTTTGCATATGGTAGAATACTGCATGTAATCATTTGTGTTTAGAAGTATATAGTTGGTGGCATATTGAAAAAATGTCTCACCCTAGGAGGTCTGTAACAACTTTGTGTACATTCCAGGGTGTTCTGGCATTCACCCCCACATCCTAGGAGCATGGGAAAGGTCGTACCTTGTCTTATTGTTGTTAACATAGCTATGTCAGTTTTAGTCTAAGTGCCTTTTTTACATATAGATGAACTGTTGGATTTTCCAGACCAGCAGGTTAAGGGAAGTCGTTTATGGGGTCACACTCTGACACACACACACATATACACCTCCACATTCCAATGTAAGGAACA